AGAGACTCACTGACTTCCTCCCTCATTTACAGACTGATTATCTCTGCAGAGCAAAATAAAACTGATGAATTGTTAAACAGAAGATTAAGCTTCACACACACACACACACACACACACACACACACACACACACACTTACAGAGCCTCTTCAGCAGGACACTAAACCAACAGAGTGACTGGACTTCAGACTAAAAGTCACCTCATGACTTCAGGGTTCAGCGATGGAGACAGGTCTTTCTACATCCGTGTATATTTAATAGATAATATCTCTTGAGCTGTGGCTCCTGTTGAGACCCTTCAAAATAAACTTTTTATTTTAATTTATGAAATACTTTTATATCTACTAATTAATCCAGTTTCCTGCTCAAATATTTCACCAAGAGTTTTAGCTGCAAGATAAAAAATCCTGCTCAGAAATATCCTGAGGAAAAATAATGAGAAAGTCTGTGTTGTCAGGATTTAATTAAAGAAAATGATTCGTCGTCCAAATCATCAGCTGCAGAGAATGACGGTACAGCCGAGTGTTACACTTACAAACCTAATGAGACGTGACGGTGAATAATAAGAAAAACTGGATTTAATTTAACCCTCGAAGCTCCAAAACAATATTCAGTAAACTAATCCAGAGTCGAAATGTTCCTTCAGCTCTCTTTTAAAGGTTCGGTCTGAGGACCTGAAGGAAGACGGTCATGCACGTGCGCGCACACACACACACACACACACACACACACACACAGACAGACAGACAGACAGACACACACACACACACAGACAGACAGACAGACAGACACACACACACACACAGACAGACAGACAGACAGACACACACACACACACAGACAGACAGACAGACAGACACACACACACACACAGACAGACAGACAGACAGACACACACACACACACAGACAGACAGACAGACAGACACACACACACACACACACACACACACAGACAGACAGACACACACACACACACAAACACACACACACAGTCACAGACATATAGCCCGCAGGTTTTGATAATCAGAGAGGAGTGAAGCTCTCATTAATTCACTGTCTTTGATCAGACTCATTAAATATGGATCCATGTGTGTGTGTGTGTGTGTGTGTGTGTGTGTGTGTGTGTGTGTGTGTGTGTGTGTGTTTAGAGCGAGCAGTGTTAGCGATGCTCTCTCGCCCTGTGGCGTTCCTCTCGGTGATTTTAAATTAAACGTCTTTATGTGTTTGAGCAGAGAAAACTTCTGTTTGTGATTCAGAGTTTTCCGTCCTGTCTGAGCATGCTCACTGTGGTGGGAGGAGCCTGTCTGTTCCTCTAACAGCCAATAAGCTGACTCCTCACCACCTGGTCTTTTATCACTGATCAGAACCTGGTTCTGATCCAGATCGTCAGAGTCCTCACCTGCGGAACTTGTCCCTCATCTTGTCCAGGTCATCTCTGGTCCGGCTGAGCTCCGCCTCCATGTAGTGACGGTTTCCGTCAAACTCCGCCTCCATGGCCTCCATCTTGTGGGTGGAGAGAGAGAGGCGGCGTCGCAGGTCCTCATTCTGCTGCTGGAGGATTCTGGGTAACGGGAGGAGACAGGAGGGTGGAGGTCATGATCGAGCAACAGCCAATCACAGAACAGACTCTGCCCCATGTGACCAAGATTTAATGATGAAAACTGGTGTTTGGAAATAAAAACAAACTGTTTCACGACCAGATTCACCTGCTCTGAAAAACACACTGTCAACTCAAACCTGAATTAAAATGAAATAATTTATTTCATTAAAATAAAGTAAAACTCAAACATAATAAACTGAAAAAATCAGGATGAAATTTAAAATTTATTGTATTATTTCACAATTTAAGTTACATCTCAACTTTTTCCGTGGCGTCCAAGTCGTGACTCGATTTGAGCAGAACAGCTCACAGGTCAGCGGACAATTATTTTCATTATTGATTAACCTGCTGATTATTTTTACATCACAAAACTAAAGCTGACGTCCAAACACCAAAGATTCAGTTCACTGCCTCACAGAGGAGCAGAGAACATTTGGCTTTATTTCCACTATTAGAATAGAATAGAATAGAATAGAATAGAATAGAATACACTCTCACCTGATCCTGTCAGAGTCTGATAAGGCCTCCTGCAACAGAAAACACAGTTAAAACAAACAGGAACACACTGCTGCCATGACAACAGAAGAGACATTTGTTCAGTTTGTCGTTAAAATGAGAAAAAAAAATCTTATTTCAATAATAACAATAATATGATTAATAACATTTTGTTCTGTACTAATTCACACTGATGTCGTCATTGTCTCATGAACATTATCGACTGAGTTACATTCAACAAACACGGTGAAAAAAAAAATATATATATATCAAAATAATAATCTGCAGCTTCACAGAGAAATAATCAATAATCAAACATTCACAGTATTTTTACAATTTCATCACGATAGAAAGAGAAATTGGTTTGTTGTTATAACAAACACCATCATGTGTCAAAAGACATTATTATAAATTTACTGTGTCACTAATGATGATTTTGTTATAAACAAAAAACTGAGCAAAAACTTTTCCAGTGATCCGCTGCTGCAAACGTCAGCACAAACATTAACAACATTATTATATCAATTATTATATAAACGTCTGTAAAACAGGAGGAAAAGAAGAAACTGAACAAACTCATGTTGTCAAGCTGCCAATATATTGATTAAGCAGCCGGAGGCGGAGCCTGAGGACGTCTCATCCCGACATCAGATGTGTGATATATTCAGGGTCCACAGAGGATGAACCTTCAGATCTGAATGGCTCTAGCGCCACCCTCAGGGCAAACTTCATGTTTACACTGAATGAACGTTGAATTTGTGTCGGCCTGACACATGATGGGACATTTTAAACACAGAAAAATGCTTTTTTACAAACAATTAAATTATATTTTGTAGAAAATCCATAATCACTTTAATTTGAATAAACATAAGTTTGTTTTTTCTGAATGAATTTATCGAAGTCTTTGTTGTTTTTGTCTCTTTTGTCTAAAAGATTCAGTTTCTGAGACAAAAAATGTTTTTTAGAGGCTGAAAACAGCTTAAAATTATTTTCATGATTAATTTATTATCAAAATAGTTGCAGATTATTTTTTCACCATTTGACTAATGAAATAATCGACCAATCGTTGCAGCTCTGGACAGGAATGTGCTCAGTCAGATTACTGCCTGTTTTAAAATAAACCTGCTAAGCACAGAACAGATTTGTTTTGTTTGTTTTCTCCGTCTGATAAAAATGTTTTTACAAACTATAATTTATTTTTTCTGGCAAGAGGCTTTTCCTGAGCTCAAAGTGTCAAGAGCTGAGGAATGAAGCTAATGATCCATTTCCTTTGATCCGATCGTTGAAATGATGAATGATTACAGGGCAGGAACGTCACTGAGGGTCGACTGTTTAGAAAACAACCTGCTTCAAATAAACTTTCTCTCCTTGTTTTCCAGGACGTTTCTCTTTTTCTTTATTTTCCAGGACTTTTCAAGGACAGTTGCTCTATAGGCTTCCTGCTCTGACGACTGATCACATGACCAACATGTGACTCGTTCAGTGATAAAACTCTTTCCTGTTTCCTTATCACTCGTCTCATTGATCTGTGTCGATGTATAGAAAAACCCCTCCCAGCATGCAGTGGGGTTTTACATGATGGATCTCCTCAGCGCTCTGATCAATCCCCTACACAGCAGTAAAATCAATAACTCAGCTGCTGTGATTGGAGCAGCCAACAGGCCAATCCGATCGTTCTGTTCTGCTCTGACACGGAGGAATACGATGATTTGTTGTGGACACTTTGTGTTTCCTCAAGTGTCATTATTGGTAATCAATAAGAAGAGCTTGTTGGAATTAAAAGCTTGTGTCTGGCTGCATTTAGACAAATTAATGTTTCATCACATTGACCTTTGTACTGCAGCATTCTGGGTATTTCAGTGACTAATCGTGCCTGTCAGCAGCTGCTGCTTGAAGACGTCGTGTTCAAAAGTTTGTTCGTCTTTTAGTTTAAATCAACAGATTTTTTAAGGCAGTTTAGTGACTCTCTATTATTGATTGTTTCACATTTTAAAGTCTAATATAATAAATCTTAAATATAAGACTCTTACATTTTCTGACTAATAAAGTTATAAATAATTTAAAAAGAGAAATTTAAAAAATTCCTCTAATTGTCACAGCTGTTATTTTTCAATTCAGAAAGAAAAACAAAACCAGCAGGAAACAGGAAGTGGGGAGAAGAGGGAGGGTGAGGAGGGTGACGATGATGAAGGTCGTCCCCCTCTGACCTACCTTGATGCGTGACACAAGTGACAGATTAGAAACAGGTGGTCTGTCTTTATTCTCCTGAATGTCCACCTTAACTCCTCTATTCACCCCCAACTCCTCCTCTTTAGGCTCCGCCCCCTCTGTGACATCACCCTGCTGTCTCTGGCTCTCCTGCCCCGCCCCCTCCTCCTGCAGGGGCTGGTACCAGCTGTCAGGTCGCTGCAGCGCCGCCACCCAGTCATCCCAACGTCGAGTCCGGCCTGTGGACAAAACCTCCGCCTGCTGCTTCCTGTGTGCGGGTCGGTGGCTGTGATGTCTGCGCTGGGGGGCGGGGCTTCCTTGCTCTCCGGAGGACGACCTACCGAGCAGCGTGAGGTGGGCGGGGCTTAAGACCCGACTAGTGATCTCATCCAGAAAGTTGGAGAAGCGGACTTTGTCCTCCAGAACCTGCATCTTCCAGTTCCAGTCTGTCCTGCAGGGCGAGGGCGGCGCAGAGGACCGCCGTGAGGACAGTGCCCGTTGCTCCGCCCGGTCCAGAGAGCGAGCCGGACGATGGCAGCCGGTGCCATCACGCCCTCGGCTGTCATCCAGTAGCTCCACTGACTTTGACTTCCTGATAAAATCGTAGGTGTGCTCCACGCCCAGCGAGGTTGGCTGCTTCAGGATACCCTTTGGAGGGGCGGCAGTCTGTGTCCGGGCGGCGGGCTGCGTCCAGTGAGCCTGACTATTACGGCGCTCTCCTCTGGGGCTGCTGGTGGGGGAGTGCTTCCAGGCTGGCGCGGGGCTTCGATGTGCCGGGAAACTCTGGTTGCTGATGGTTGTGAGGAGACTTGCTGCATGGCGAGGACTCATGGTGTTATGAGGACTCGAAACGTGGCGAGGACTCGTGGTGTTTTGAAGACTAGAGATGTGGCGAGGACTCGTAGTGTTATGAGGACTTGAGACGTGGCGAGGACTCGAGACGTGGCGAGGACTCATGTTGTTATGAGGACTCGAGACATCGCGAGGACTCGTAGTGTTATGAGGACTCGAGACGTGTCGAGGACTCGTAGTGTTATGAGGACTCGAGACGTGGCGAGGACTTGTAGTGTTATGAGGACTCGAAACGTGGCGAGGACTCGAGATGCGGCGAGGACTCGAGATGTGGCGAGGACTCATGGTGTTATGAGGACTTGAGACGTGGCGAGGACTCGAGACGTGGCGAGGACTCATGTTGTTGTGAGGACTCGAGACGTGGCGATGATTCGTGATGTTTTGAAGACTTGGCGTGCAGTGAGGTCTCGTGGGTTTATGAGGACTCGTGGTGCGGTGGTCAGATGCCGTGACGCCCACAGCTGTGGTTTTGGTCCGGTTGGGTCGCCGGGTGTGGCTTCTGAAGAGTGATGGTGGCGGGATGCAGAGCTCCAGACTGGACAGACTGGAGACGTCCTGCTCGCTGTCTGAGAGCGGGAGCGGCGACGTCAGGATGCCATGCTGTGGGCCGGCGCTCTGCGGCCGTTTACCGGCGGCGGAGAAGTGGGTGAGACGCTGCAAGGTGGATGGAGGTGTGTTAAGGGTGTGTTGGTTTACCTGATTGATGTCGGGCTGCGGTGTGGGTGGGGGTGGAGCGGTGGGCAGGGCGTGGCGTGTCTCGCGGTGCTGCGGTGGAGCCTTACGGTACGGCTTCCTCGCCGGGGCCGCGCTCGTCATCCTGGCCCCTGCTTCCTTCCTCTTTGTTTCCTTCCTTCCTGTCGGTGTGTCAGTCCTGGCAGGAGAAGAAGAGCGAGATGAGGTAGAAAACAGACGCCTGCCGATCACCCGCCGACCACCCACCACGACACCTCTACCACAACTGGACTCTCACACTGCTGTCACACTCTCTCTCGCTCGCTCTCTCTATCTCTCACTCTGCAGATCAATGCTCGGTCGCCCCTCATCAACGTCAAACACAAGTCCGGCATGTGTGTTTATGCTTGTGTGTCTGACAGAGCGTAAGTGTGTGTGTGTGTGTCTGTGTGTGTGTGTCTGTGTCTGTCTGTGTGTCTGTGTGTGTGTGTGTGTGTGTGTGTGTCTGTCTGTCCTCACAAGAAGATACAAATAACAAAGTAACAAATCAATGGACCTTACAAGTGTATGTGTGTGTTCTTGTCTTGTATCTTTGTGAGGACCAGGTATCAAACCTTCACTGTGAAGGCAACAGGTCCTAAAAGAGTCTTTCTATAAAAACTGTCTTTACTTTGTTGTTGTGAAGCTCAAACGAGAAAGGATGACGGTCCTAACAAGTATATCAATATATGTACTCTTTGTGTGTGTGTGTGTGTGTTAGCCTCAGGCGACACATTGATCTCAGTTTGTTTCCAGAGCAGGAAGTGCAGCTCCATTGATCTAAATGGCTAACGTTAGCATGTCAGCATTAGCTTGATGTTGATCTGAATGACACAGAACAGAGCTAAAGCAGCCAACATGCTAAATGTCAGACCACAGCTCTGATCTGACTCACAACACAGTGTTATATATGTGACTGACTGATTTGAGCTTTGAGACTCTGACAAAACTAAAACAACAAGCAGCTGCATTATGATTTAACACATCATCACATCTGTTCGAACAGAACCAAGATAAATTTGTTATCATGCCACAGATCCACCCACCCATGAAAAGGTTACTAATATAACCTGTCCATAATTACGTAGAGCACATTCATCATGTTTAGTGCGACCTGGACCTCAGCTGCAGGCCTGTTGTTCATTTTACAGAAAATATAATAATTTCGTGGAACAGCCCTGGTTCTGCTGTTTCTACAGAGCGGTCTGTTTCTGCTCAGTGACCTGCTCCATTTAGAGTTTGTCCTCGTCACATGACCAGATCCAACCCTGAGGGACCCAATGACGAGCCATCGATCACTGTGTGACTTCCTCTGTCACACACACACGTTTGTCATTTCTGTATTTGTGAGGACCATTACTGACATAATGCATTCCCTGGCCCCCGACCCTGACCTGAACCATCCTTCAAACCTCCGTCTTCTACACTGGTCCAGTCTGTGTGACACGTTCAGCTGTTAGAAACCAGAGTCAATGGACAGGACTTTTCCTACTCAGGGGTCCAAGCCCGAGTGGGGCGGGGGCCATGCATGCAAAGCTTCGAAGGGAAAACTTTTGTAACCACTCAGTTTTTATTAGGGCCCGAAGTCTGAGAGTCGAGACCCGAGGACGTATTCACTTATAGTCAAAGCGCCACCTTCCGGAAACAGTTAGCACGTGAAAAAACATCTCTGGATTAACATCAACAGTTCATCATGTGATCTTCACTTGATACACAGCAACATGATGAAAAACAAGTGTGTATTCTCTAGTGCAGTGGTTCCCAACCTGTGAGCAGGGGCCCACTGGTGGGCCACAAATGTATTGCAAAACAGTAAAACTTTGGTAAAAAGATGTAATTATTATTAAATAAATACTATAACAATAAAAATATTATTATTAAAATATATAAACACACGAATATATATATGTGTATATATATATATGTATATATTTGGACACATTTTCTAAAAATGTGGCTGATTGGTACTGTAAATAAATAATGTTTTTAAGTGTTTTAAATGAAACAAAATGATCTTTAAAAATATAAAAAACTGTTTCAAGCTGCTTTTGTTTTTTTTCTCATATTAAAGCCTATTACAGTCATAGCCAATGACAGGAACTTTTATGTTGTTGCTGCCAGATGACATCGTATATTTGTTCTCTATCTCTAAATCTATTTGATTTTGTGCTAAAAGATCACATCCATGATAAAAACTGGAGAATCAACATGGATAGCTGGTTAGAAACAAGAAGAGTTAAAAGGAAAAAGTCAAGAGAGATATGGCGAAAAACAAAAAAGAATACTGAGCTCCCTATGTGTTCAGTTCAAGCCTGAAAGTTCAATCATTAAAATAAAAAGCTCTGAGAAGTCATTATTTGCCCTCCATATTGTTACAGAGTTCAATGTGGGCCACCAACATTTTTCAGATTTGGTGCGGCATGAGTTGGAAAAGGTTGGGAACCACTGCTCTAGGTCACACAACACCCAATAATCATGATTATGTACTGTACGTCCCTATCAGCCAACTTCCAGTAAATGTATTGATGAATTAATAATTAATACTTATTAAAACCACCTTCTTGCAACAGGAAGTGAAGCCTAGAAAACACATGGCTCGTCAAATGTTTGCACAACTTCCTGTATTTCATCTTCATCAGCATGTTCTGCACACAGGAAATATTTGATTCCTCAGGACAGTAAACTGTGAGTGTGGACGCTCCATTTACAAAAGGCTCCGTCAGTGATGCTTTCTTGCTCATTCTTGTCTCTATTGTGACGTTCACTTCTTTCAATGTCTACAATCCGCATACAAATCATATCAAAATCATATATTTACAGTCCTTTGAAGTAGTGAGGACCGGCTAAAATTTCTGCAATGCAAAGGTCTAAAAATCAAGCTGGTCCTCACAGAGATAGACATATACACTCTCACACAGAGGGAAGTTCATCATGAGGCTATTTGTGCAGCCATTTATTCTGTCCTCAGAGTGAAAACCATCGATCACTCGACTTGAAGTTTCATTTCATCATTTCAGCCTCTTCCTGTTTCACGTCCCTCAGTGTCGACCGAGCTGCTGCTTCTTCAAGTCTCAGATTCATTTCAATCATCTCCTGAACGTTACTGAAAAACCATTAAACCATCTGAATTATTTACTCCTTGTTTCTGACCAATCAGGTTTTATTCTGTCTCTAAATACTACAATACCCATGAGTCTCAGCTGCTGTTGCTATGGCAAGGAAGCCGGTGAGAGGTGTGAATGTTTGATCAGGTTTAATGAAGTTTGGTCTCATTTTTTAATGTATATAAAGAAGAATACAACAGAAAGAAAAAAATACCCCAACTGTTTTTATAATGGAAATGTTCTGCATAATTTATGTTGTATTAATGTGGCATTTTAGTTTTAGTATTGATTTATTTTACTGGGCTTGATTTTGTTTCCTGTTCCTCAGTGACGTCTTTTCCTGCTGCATTATGTTTCTCATTTAATCTGAAAGTGAACTCCTGAATATTTGATCAGGTTTCAATATCACACTAAACATCAGAAAGTGAAGCTGTCGGTGAAATGCACCTTGGGAGTTGTAGTTCACTTCTCTACTGAAAGCTCCATGTTTCTTCTTCTTCTGTGTTTTATTTGAAGTGTTGATCCATTAGAAGATATAAAAACCATCTCAGTGTAGTTTTACATCTCCTCTCTCAGGCTTCTCTCTGGAGCTCTAGTAACAACAGGTCTGTGAGCCAATCAGAAGAGAGGAGGCTCTGAGCCTCTCTTCTGATTGGCTGACTGTTTTCTGAGTGAACCAATAAAAATAAAGCAGATTTCAGGTAAAAACACTCAGAGAAACCAAATCCTGCAAGGTTTGGATGGTGGGTCCAGGTGGGCGGGGCTTGGTGACTGCTTTGTTGTGACATCACAAAGTTCCAGAAGTCCTGACGGCTGGTTTTAAGGCTCAGTTTCTGAATACAGGCTGTGTGCATTTCTCTGTGGACTGAGGCTTTGATACTTTCACAGTATTAATATAGAAGCTAGAGCTGATCTATAATCACACTACACCTGGACACAGACCTTTACACTGGAGGAGCTTTAAGTTTTATGTCCACCCGTCTCTTCAGTGCTTATGCCTAATTTTTAGCAGCAAGGAATTTTTCCTGCAAAACTGGCAGTTGCACCTGTGGTGGCTTCAGTGAATCCACTGGGATCCTCCTCTGTGAACATGTCTGCTCCTGTTATTGGTGCAGTCCTCCTTCAAATGTCAATGCAATGAGCAGCAAGAAACAAATGACAAAGACTGTGACTCGAGCCTGATGCAGCAGTTTGATCAGACCTGTTTCTCCAACAGAGATGTCTTCTCTAATAAACCATCAGCTGATCTTGGGTCAGTTTCGGGAGCCACAGTCTCCAGTTAAATCAAATTTATATCAGATCAATAACTTCCGTTCTTTCTTCTCTTCTCCAGTTGTTATTTAATCATTTCATCAATATGAGAATCAATCATTATTCAAATGATTGATCAGGATTTCTCTGCACCAGGAAAATGTTTATTTTTTCAGGGAATAGAAAAGTAAGATGTGGACAGGTGACAGCTTCCTGTCAGGTGAGGAAGAGGAAGGTGAAGGTGTCTTCATCTCGTCTGACTGCAGCTCCTGAATTTTACATCAAACTGCCCCAAGTGTTTTTACCCAGCATGCTCTGCTGTCACGCAACACACGTATTTTATATTAGTATATTTGTGACGACCCAATAATTACAATCATCCTGCAGCTGCTCTCATTTCTTCTTTATTTATTTTGTTCTCTTCTTCCTCTTTTCTTTTGACATCTTCTCTTTTCTCTTCCTTTTCTCTCTCTGTCCTCTCTTGTTCTTGTCCTTTCACCATTTTTGTTTTCTATTATTTATTCCCTTCTTTCTGCTCTCCTTCACCTCTTTCATTTCCCTCCCTTACAGCTTTCCCTTCCTTCCTTCTTTCTTCTCCTCTTTCACCATCTTCCCCTTTTTTCCTTTTCTACTCCTTCTACCACCCTCCCTTCTTCTTTCTTCTTCTTTCTTTTTTTCTTCCATTCCTTCCCTCTTTCTCTTCTTCTTTTGTTTTTCTATCAGCTCTTCTTTCCCCTTTCGCTTTCCTTTCTTCCAACCATCTGTCTTCTTTTTCTGTCCTTCCTTCCTTCCATCTTCTTTTCCTCCTTCACCTCTTTCATTTCCCTTCCTTACAACCTCCCCTTCTTTCCTTCCTTTCTTCTCCTCTTCCACTTTCTTCCCGTTTCCGTCTTCCTTTCTCTTTTTCTTTCTTCCATTCTTTCCTTTATTCTCCTTCCTTTCCTCCCCCCTCCTTTCTACATATTTTGTTTATTTCTCTCTCTTCCTTCCTTTCTTTCATCCTCTCTTCTTTCTTCACCTCTCTCTCTCTCTCTCTCATCAGCTGATCACCTCAGTCTCAAACTTGAAAACGAGTCACTCAGTCAGATGTTGATCATCCGTCAGAAGCTTCAGATCGTCGCTGCAGATTTTTTAGTGTTTGTTTGTTCGTGTGTGATGTCATCATTGTCGTGTCTTTCAGGATGTGACATCATGGGCTCAGGTGTGTGTTAGTGTTTGTACCTGAAGTGTGAGCTGCTCCAGATCTGACTTCATCCACAGAAACAACACACCTGAAACACACACAAACAGAATCAGCTGTTACAGGTGACATCACGTCACAGTTTAATGACCGTCATTAAAACACTTAAAGGCGCTGCGGCTCAAACGCTCGTTAACTCACAAGAAAATGTTTAAAGACAAAATGTCGATCAGTTTCTCCTCAGCGATGAAAAAAATGTTCAGGAAATGTTTAAATAATTGATGTTACGCTCGCTCTCTCTGCAGCCCGAGGACACAAATCATCAGACTCATCATCTCGCTCACACTTTAATCAGTTGCCATGGTTATAGAGGAGGTCATTAGAGGTTAATACACCTGCAGCCCCCGAGGACGAAACAGAGAGATCTGATGAGGAGAAGCGAGGAGGATCACCTGCTGTTTCCTCAGGTGTCTAAAGTCTTATCGTGATCCTGACGAATCACAACGAGACTTCTTCCTCAGAAGAAGAAACAGGAACGAGACAAACTTAAGGTTCAGATCCACAGACACGTGAAGCTGTGGTTTTATATACAGGTATGTCTTTAAAGAATTACCTGGTCAATACAGGTTTACAGTGTCCTGTGACCCAAAACACATCTGTGAAACATCAACCTCCGAATCACATGTCAATGTTGAACTATTCCTTTAAAGCAGCAGGAGAACAAGTTACACCTCAGCATAGTTATATGGACACTATCAATATCAATAAATAATTTGTATTGAGAAATTACACTGTATGTGTAACTGATCACTGTATTTATCACAATCTAATCATCATCACTGCACGAGCTCCATGACAGAGAGAAAAAAACATGGAGGACAAAACATCTGTTGAAAAGACAGAAAAGAGCCAAGGCCATGGAGTCAGAGAATGACTGAATGAATGAGTGGATGAGTGGGTGGATGGATGGATGAATGGATGGATCCTCACCTCGTACGTCAGCACAGAAAATTCTTCATCCTCTCTGCTGTTTTCGTCCTCTCACATTCAGCCCAGTTTCTCCTCCTCTTCCTCCTCTGGGCGTGTGAGCCTCAAGCCTCCAATAACCTGAAACACAAGACGGAGGGATGGGAAAACATGAGTCAATACCTGCTGCCAGTCAGACAGAAAACACCAGAGACACACGAGAAGAGAGAGGGCAGAAAAAAACAAACTAAAAACTCAAAAAAAAGGTTAAAAAAAAGGGCTAAAAAAACTAAAAAAAAAAAAAAAAAGACTAAAGCAGCTAACAATACAGGCTAAAATAACCAAGAAATACAAGCTAGAAAAAGCTTAAATTACAGGCTAAAACAGCTTTAAAAAATAGTTTAAAAATACAGGTTAAAATAAGTTTATTAAAAAAAGGGCTAAAACAGATAGAAATACAGGTTACAATATACAGGATAAAGCAGGTAAGAAAATACCAGCTTATATGATAAAATACAGGTTAAAATCAGCGAAAGAATTCAGGTTTAAAAACAGTTAAATGCTAAAAGCTAAAGTATACAAGCTAACAGAAAAAAGGCTATAGGCTAAAAGAACAGGCTAAAGGCTAACAGACTGCCCTTTTCCCTCAGTGTCGTCTGCAGGCACAGACCCAGGCCTGTCGGTGTCAGGTGACTGCAGGCAGACTGCCAGGTGAACCCATTAGTCTAATTAGACCTCAGCTCCACAGCTGCTCATTAGCATCATCAGAGAGAGATGTTAACAGAGGAGCTGAGAGGCTGCCGAGGATTCACTGACCAATAACAGACCAGTAACAGACCAGTAACAGAACAATAACAGACCAGCAAAGAAACCAGTAACAGACCACCAACAGACCAATAACAGACCAATAACAGAACAATAACAGACCAATAACAGACCAGTAACAGACCAGTAACAGAACAGTAAAGAAACCAATAACAAACCAGTAACAGACCAATAACAAACCAGCAAAGAAACCACCAACAGACCACCAACAGACCAATAACAGACCAATAACAAACCAGTAACAGAACAATAACAAACCAGCAAAGAAACCAGTAACAAACCACCAACAGACCACCAACAGACCAGTAAAGAAACCAGTAACAGACCAGTTCAACATGTAGTTGTTCTCATTAACATATTTTTCTCTTCTCTTCTTCAGAGGTTAAAGGTCATCTTCTTAACTTTAACAGCACCCTCACTGAGTAACTACAGCACACACACTAACACACACTCATACACACTAAGACACACACTAACACACACACATTAACAAACGCTAACACACACTCACACACACTAACACTCACTCACACACACACTAACACTCACTCATTCACACACTAACACTCACACTAACTCACCCATGATACTAACACTTTCTCACACTCACTCACACACACTAACACTTTCTCACACTCACACACTAACACACAAACACTTTCTCACACTAACACACACTAACAAACACTCACACACACTAACACACACTAACAAACACTCACACACACTTGTGTGAAGTGAAGTGTCTGATGGGAAAAGGAAGGAGATCAATGTACTAAGTGATGGATAATTCTGTAAATGATGAGGAGGAATGTGAAGTGTACAGATGTTTAGAGGTTTGTGTGTGTGTGTGTCTGTGTNTTCTCACACACACTCACACACACTAACACTTTCTCACACTCACACACTAACACACAAACACTTTCTCACACTTACACACACTAACACACACTAACAAACACTCACACACACTTGTGTGAAGTGAAGTGTCTGATGGGAAAAGGAAGGAGATCAATGTACTAAGTGATGGATAATTCTGTAAATGATGAGGAGGAATGTGAAGTGTACAGATGTTTAGAGGTTTGTGTGTGTGTGTGTGTGTGTGCGTGTGTGTGTGTGTGTGTGTGTGTGTGTGTGTGTGTGTGTGTCTGTGTGTGTGTGTGTGTGTGTGTGTGTGTGTGGTTAAAGGACTACAAATCCCTGCTTTAGTCCTGAACCCAAACAGACGAAGGGAGAATCACACAGAGAAAACTAACCGGCTGCCCGCCCACACACACACACACACACACACACACACACCCAGCAGGGTGTGTGTGTGTGTGTGTTGGCTGAGTCACAGCCGTCTGTTTGTCAGGAAGAGGCCGAAGCGTCTGTGACAGGAAGTGGAGCGACCAGCTGACAACCTGCCACTGACATCACCGATGCTCACCTCCAACTGAAGGTCAAACTGCAACAGATGGCATGCTGGGAAATCCACCGGCCGCAGCGGGGACTGCAGAGAGAGCACGACTCAGTCCAGACACAGGGAAACAAAACGCTTTGCATGGGTTATCTGAAGACTGAGTCCAGAACAGACCTGAAGAGACCAGAAGTAGGTCTGAAGAGTCCCACAGGTGAGACGATGGATTTTAAAAGTTTGATATCAGCTGATCAAATATTGATCACTGATTGGAACCTTCACTTAAACATGTTGGCATAAAGCTCCTGACAGACAGACTCAGTGTTGTTGTGTTTTACTAATTAAACAGAGGAACTGATTCAAATATTAATTTATTCTTCCACTGGTTTATTTAGTGACAGCATCAAGTGATCAACCTGCGTCTGATCTGCACTGACAGGTAACAGACACGACCAGCCAGGCTGACAATCAGCTGCTACAGTACTGATAATCAATACTGATAATCAGTCACTACATTTTCAAGCTAAATTCTCCTGTCAAATGATTTTCACAATAAACTGAAAGTTGTCACTGATCAATTGTCCGCTGCAAGTAAATAAATATATTTCTAGAAGCTAAAGAAACCTGTTAACCATCTAATCGGCTAACCAGCTAACCTGGTAATCAGCTAACAAGCTAACCAACCAACCAGCTAATCAGCTAACCTGGTTATCAGCTAACAAGCTAACCAGCCAACCAGCTAATCAGCTAACCTGCTAAGTCAGCTAACTGGTAATCAGCTAATCAGCTAACAAACTAAGCAGCCAACCCCTGATATTTCAGCCAACGCAGAGCTAATCAAGATTAACCATTTTAACATGCTAATCAGCTAATCAGCCAACAGCCCTGATGATGTGATTGGTGTTGGTCACGTACCAAACACAATCCTGTCCTTCAGGTCTGGAGAACAGGATGTGTAGTCCTGGGGTCTCCGTAGCACAACGACCACCACATTTTTATTTTTATCATAAAACTGCAGCTTCTGTGATTTCATTATTTGGATTAATTGTGCAGCTCTAATGAAATGTAGAAAATAAAATGGAGTCAGTCCTGTGAGCTCTTGTCTTCCTCTCAGCAGTCAGTCAGGAAGTTATGGAGGTGCTGATGCTGCAGTCTGGAGCTCCGTCTCTCTCTCTGTTTACTGGGGGTGGGGGTGGGGGTGGGGTGTGGGGTGGGGTGGAGGTGGGGGTGGGGGTGGAGGTTGGGGGTGTGGGGGGTAACGTCACCTCAACCAGGGTGGAGGGAGAATTTTGTTTCTTCGTCTTCAGCGGCTCAGGTCGCTGCGTCTCTGACAGCAGACGTGGCTTCACGTCACAAACCTGAACCTGATGCTGTGTGAACAGATGTCTGACTCTGACTGCTCAGGCTCATCACCTGTCACCTGACACCTGTGAACCTGCTGCTGTGACTGATAGACAGACAGACTGATGGGGCTTCAAACAAACAAACAACAGATACATTGATTATAAATTATCAGTTTATCGTCGTTATCACAGGAAGTTCTCCCAGCTTCACTTTCCTTCTCTATTGCCTACCTTACCCAGAATGCCTTTCACTTACCATCAGCCCCTGTTTAGATATGTTGCACAAGTTGGACACAATTATTCCAACAACCACCTGTCTTTCAGCTGCAATGCATTCTGGTCCAGCTGCTGTGTGTGGTGTCGTTCTGGCTTGAAACAGCAGAACACCAACCAATCAGAGGGCAGAGGAGTCACACGTCCCCGCCCCTCCAAACTCATCCTACCCATAATCCTCTGTGAGTGGAGATAAACCCCTGTGGCATGTAATCCTACACACACACACACACACACACACACACACACACACACACACACACACACACACACACACACACACACACACACACACACACCACACTCTCNATCAGCTGATCAAATATTGATCACTGATTGGAACCTTCACTTAAACATGTTGACATAAAGCTCCTGACAGACAGACTCAGTGTTGTTGTGTTTTACTAATTAAACAGAGGAACTGATTCAAATATTAATTTATTCTTCCACTGGTTTATTTAGTGACAGCATCAAGTGATCAACCTGCGTCTGATCTGCACTGACAGGTAACAGACACGACCAGCCAGGCTGACAATCAGCTGCTACAGTACTGATAATCAATACTGATAATCAGTCACTACATTTTCAAGCTAAATTCTCCTGTCAAATGATTTTCACAATAAACTGAAAGTTGTCACTGATCAATTCTTCCAATCAAGTAAATAAATATATTTCTAGAAGCTAAAGAAACCTGTTAACCATCTAATCGGCTAACCAGCTAACCTGGTAATCAGCTAACAAGCTAACCAGCCAACCAGCTAATCAGCTAACCTGCTAATCAGCTAACCTGGTAATCAGCTAATCAGCTAACAAACTAACCAGCCAACCTGATAATCAGCCAACCAGCTAATCAGTTAACCATTTAACATGCTAATCAGCTAATCAGCCAACCAGCCCTGATGATGTGATTGGTGTTGGTCACGTACCAAACACAATCCTGTTCCTTCAGGTCTGGAGAACAGGATGTGTAGTCCTGGCGTCTCCGTAGCACAACGACCACACATTTTATTTTTATCATAAAACTGCAGCTTCTGTGATTTCATTATATTTGGATTAATTGTGCAGCTCTAATGAAATGTAGAAAATAAAAATGGAGTCAGTCCTGTGAGCTCTTGTCTTCTCCTCAGCAGTCAGTCAGGAGTTATGGAGGTGCTGATGCTGCAGTCTGGAGCTCCGTCTCTCTCTCTGTTTACTGGGGGTGGGGGTGGGGGTG